TATCTCCATGATATGCGCCTATCGCTATTATAAAAAACCGCCATTGATAAATATAGGTGGCATGCGGAATGTTTAGGAAATTTAATTGCTGTTAACTTTCCTTTTCTTTGAATGGAATTTTAAATGTTATTTAATTCAGGTTTTTTTTATTGATATGTTCTTTTTGGTTAGAAATACAAACCATCTCACTCCTTTACTGTTTTTGTTTTGTTTTGTTTTGTTTTTGTTTTTTTGGGGGGGGGAGAAAAAAAAAGCGTTTTGCCCCCCCCCCCCCCACTTTTTTGGTTGGGGGGAGTGCCCCCGCCCCCACTTCGGGCGCCTATGTGTACTATGTAAGCGTTCGGTAAGCGTTAGGTTGCAGTTCAACCTTGACGCATTATTAAGAGCACCTGCCGTCCTACGATTAAACACAATTGCACGCTAAGGGGCTATTGTAATCGATTATATAAGTACTTAGTAGTTGATTCCCAGTGTGATTTTATATATATCCTAATATAAATTATATTACCTAGTCTATAGATGATAAAACGATATTAAATCTTACATTTTAAAAAAAATAAAATTATTGGTTCTTTACATTAGGATATCAAGTTCAAAGTCATGTTTCCTTTCCTTTTTAAGAAATAAGTTCACCTGTCAAAATATATGTTTTTATTTGTATATATATTTATTAGCACGGACTGTCAGGCTGGTGTTCTTGCTGTCAGCAGAACTAATTTAAATCTCTTTTTGCCCGGCATTACACGATTATGTACTGTGAATGCTCAAAAATATATCCAGTAGACACATGTAATTGACGGCCAATTGAATGGTTGTACGGCAACGTACGCGCCTCTCAAAACCGTCACAATCACACACCGGCATTCCATTGGAAGGCAGGTTACTTTACTCTTTTTTTTTGTTTTATTTTTCATTCCAATTTAATGAATTACCAAGTTTCAGATTCAAGGTTAAACATCATTGTAACCATGTTACTCAATGAAACTTCAACCTCGATCAATATGACTTGAACAGTGCACATTATGGAAGTCATTCTGATATTCAAGTTGGTTTATATAGGAGCAGACATGATGGAGAGAACTGAAAGTTTTAACCAAATCTGATCCAAAGTAAATTTAATCTATCAAGCACAAAATAATAACTTGTTGACTTAATACCAGGGGGTGTTTCGAATCCTTCACTCTCTTTCTCCCTCCCTCTCCCGCCTTCTCGATTTCCCCTGTTTGTTACCGATGATCCAGATCCTATCTAACCTCCCTCTCCCTCCTATTCATCTCTCTTTCTCTCTCTCTCTCTCTCTCTCTCTCTCTCTCTCTTCCAGGCGCGTAGCCAGGGGGGGCGGTCGCCCCCCCTCCCCCAAAACGCCGGCCAAAAAAAAAAGAGAGAGAGAAAGAGAAGAAAAAAAGTAAGAGGAAGAGGAAGAAAAAGGGAAAGGAGTCGTCTTCTTCTCTAATAATTTAATGAAACGTCAAAGCTTCCGCGCTTCGCGCGGAACGGGGGAAATTGAGTTCAAATTAAGGATTAAGAGTCGAGAACGGAACAAAGAATCGTCCTCTTTCACCAATAATTTAATGAAACGTCAAAGCTTCCGTGCTTCGAAAGAGGGGGACTGAATACAGATAATGAATAAGGGTCGGGAAAGGTACAACGAATCGTCTTCTTTGTCTAATAATACGTCAAAGCTTCCGCGCTATGCGCAGGAGCTAGGGCGGACTAAATTCAGCCAAGGATTATGAGTCGAGAAAGGTACAACGCATCGTCTTCTTTCACTCCCCCCTCCCTGCACCCACCCACCCCCCCCCCCCCCCCTAGGGAGCGCGCTTTGCGCGCTCTTTAAGTGATTCGCACGCTTTGCGTGCTCACTACCGCCCCCCCCCCCCCTGAAAGGAAATCCTGGCTACGCGCTTGCTCTCTCCCCCCTCTCCTACCCTTGATCTCTCTCTCTTCCCCCTCTATCCCCTCTTACTCTCCCCCTCTCTTTGTCACATCCCCATTATCTCTCCCCTCCCTTTATATATATATATATATATATATATATATATATATATATGTATATATATCTTTCTCTCTCTTCCCCCTCTCCTACCCTCTTGCTCTCCCCTCCCTCTCTCACACCCCTATTCTCTCTCCCCTCTCCCTCCCTTTATCTCTCTCTCTCTCTCTCTCTCTCTCCTCTCCTGCCCTCTTAATGCTCTCCCCTTCTCTATATCACACCCCCATTCTCTCTCCCCTCTCCCTCCCTTTATCTCTCTCTCTCTCCTCTCCTTCCCTCTTAATGCTCTCCCCTTCTCTATATCACACCCCCATTCTCTCTCCCCTCTCCCTCCCTTTATCTCTCTCTCTCTCCTCTCCTGCCCTCTTAATGCTCTCCCCTTCTCTATATCACACCCCCCATTCTCTCTCCCCTCTCCCTCCCTTTATCTCTCTCTCTCTCCTCTCCTGCCCTCTTAATGCTCTCCCCTTCTCTATATCACACCCCCCATTCTCTCTCCCCTCTCCCTCCCTTTATCTCTCTCTCTCTCCTCTCCTGCCCTCTTAATGCTCTCCCCTTCTCTATATCACACCCCCATTCTCTCTCCCCTCTCCCTCCCTTTATCTCTCTCTCTCTCCTCTCCTGTCCTCTTAATGCTCTCCCCTTCTCTATATCACACCCCCCATTCTCTCTCCCCTCTCCCTCCCTTTATCTCTCTCTCTCTCCTCTCCTGCCCTCTTAATGCTCTCCCCTTCTCTATATCACACCCCCCATTCTCTCTCCCCTCTCCCTCCCTTTATCTCTCTCTCTCTCCTCTCCTGCCCTCTTAATGCTCTCCCCTTCTCTATATCACACCCCCATTCTCTCTCCCCTCTCCCTCCCTTTATCTCTCTCTCTCTCCTCTCCTGCCCTCTTAATGCTCTCCCCTTCTCTATATCACACCCCCATTCTCTCTCCCCTCTCCCTCCCTTTATCTCTCTCTCTCTCCTCTCCTGCCCTCTTAATGCTCTCCCCTTCTCTATATCACACCCCCCATTCTCTCTCCCCTCTCCCTCCGTTTATCTCTCTCTCTCTCTCTACCCCCTCTATGCCCTCTCCTACCCTCTTGCTCACACCCCAAATATCTCTCTCTCTCTCTCTTTCCTTCTATTCGTATCTGAGTTTACATGAAAGGACATCAAAGATAAATACACATGTACATCATGCAAACATCCTTTCTCAAAAAAGACATCACAGCCTTTATTCAAATTATTTTTCAATTTCCACCACAAATCATACATCTTTAAAGACCGTCAATACTACTGGGCCAGAAGGGATTAGACCACACAGCAAGATCACTGACAGGTTGCTATCTCATTAACTCGATTTTTGCACCCTCGCAAACAATGCCCCCTGTTCATCCAAGCGTGAACACACACCACACAAAAAAATGATACCAAATGATTTGCGATACAACACTCTTTCATAAGATGTATAATAATTTACTGTTCATAAATGATTTTTAAAATTATTAGCAATTTTCTAGGTGTAAACTTTTTTTTACTCGCACGGTATAAAAGCGGAATATTAATATTTTACTTGTTTCTTCCTCATAATGGTGCTTTGATGCGATCAAAGAATACCACCAAAGGACACAATACATGTGCATGTACATGTACAAACAAATCATCCACGACCAGAAATGATAGACATTCTTCAAAAAGAAAAGATTTCTCTTATTTTTCTCTGCTGGCCTAGCTACATGTAGACTGCAAAAGGAAACTAATCAGAAGTAAATAGCAAACATATTTTAATTTGTTATTTGTTTTAAAGGTAAAGACCAGTAATGGTCATGCGATTGCATTGTGAAAGAAACGTTGTGGAATCGATCAGAAAAGGTCGATCATCTAGCATCTAGCATCTGCAAGGTTCTGGAATCATCAAAATGATAAGAAATTTGGCTCATTCTTCGTAAAGTTACAAGCACTATACACAGAAAGATGTATATGGGACTACCCTATCTCTCTCACCAGACCATGAGAGAAATAAATTTACCAAATATATGAATTAGTAGGCGGTTTCCCGGCAAATTTTTTATCATCATGTATTAGTCAAAACATATTCTTTCACATGATTGGTAATGAGAGCTTCCATTTCATTTTTTGAAATTGGGGCGTTGCCAATACTGGTCTTTACCTTTAACTGCAATCTCTCTCAAATACAGTGTAACCCTCTGACAAACTTGTCAAAAATCAAACGTTTTCCTTCCTTTAAAGGCCGGATTCGTAACTTTGTCTCAGATTCTGAAACAAAATCCATATTTTGAAGAGGAGAGTTGTTGTATTTGATCAGTAAGGCTTCCTCTTCGCAATGATATGAGTTTTGCATCAATTCAAAACACTTTTGATTCTTTGTGTGTCTACTTTAAGGCTTGTTCAGATAAAACGTGGTAAACCGCTGCCAGAAAAACGCCCACTTTTTGTTATAATTGTAAATGAATGGCGGCTGCGCTCAGCAAAGGAATTGCACCCATTCACTGAGCTTTGTGTCATATTGCAATGTGAAGCGCTTGACACTTTACGTAAGTCATCATTTTTAAAAAGCAGCGGTTTTGTCACGTCTGAAAGAGCCTTTGGGTTGTTCTTACCTCCCCCAAACTGACAAAAAAATTGTTTGGTTTGAGGCATAACTGAAAGAAAGTGATTCATATATATATATATATATATATATACTCTCTAAAAAAATTGAGTGATCACGGACGTCACTCCTCTGGAGAGTGAAAATGTAGTGAAAATAGAGTGAACATTCACTCTTTTCTTCTTAGAGAGCACTCTAAAATCAATCGATTTTCACTCCTAAACAAGTGATCACGGACGTCACTCCCAAGAAAGTGAAAATAGAGTGAAAATTCACTCTTTTTTTTTTTAAGAGAGTACATATCTATTTCAAATAATGGACATGTTTTTGATAAATTTGTGTAAATTAAAAAATAATAATAATCATAATAATCACAATAATTAATGATGATAAAAATAATGATGGTGAATAATTATAATAATCATAATAACAATAATAGTAATAATAATCATGATCATGATAACAATGATAATAATAATAATGCTAATAAAGTTATGTTACATTGATTTAGCCCATTACATGAATACTCAATACAATTTACAATGTTATAATGGCTTATCATCGGGTCATAGCGTCGAGTCGTTACTCGACCTGTTGTGAAAGCATGCCATTTTACTCACGAAATGACAGAGGTAGTGTTTGTGAAAAATACCCCTCATCTTCGAATGGTCTGGTCCAATTTACCCAACACTGTGAAAACCCTACAGCTAATCTATAAAAGGACCCATCCTTAACACGCAATTTTACATGATCTTCCGCTTTCGTTTTCACAAAATATTGTGTGACCGGAAATGCGACCACCCGACCTGATGCGATTAACCTGATGATTTGAAGTGAGCCTGTTACATTTATGAATTACTATTATTTCTATGCATAATTTGTATCAAAATCAATTGTGCAAAATTTCCTGAGAATCAGATTGCAATCATTTGTCAGGTAGATGCATGTACAACAATCAGAATGCAATCATTTGTCAGGTAGGTGCATGTATAACAATCAGAATGCAATCATTTGTCAGGTAGCTGCCTGTACAACAATCAGAATGCAATCATTTGTCAGGTAGCTGATGCATGTACAACTATCAGAATGCAATCATTTGTCAGGTAGATGCATGTACAACAATCAGAATGCAATCATTTGTCAGGTAGATGCCTGTACAACAATCAGAATGCAATCATTTGTCAGGTAGCTGCCTGTACAACAATCAGAATGCAATCATTTGTCAGGTAGATGCATGAACAACTATCAGAATGCAATCATTTGTCAGGTAGCTGATGCATGTACAACTATCAGAATGCTATCATTTGTCAAGTAGATGCACAACAGTCAGAATGGTATCATTTTTCAGGTAGATGCACAACAGTCAGAATGCTATCATTTGTCAGGTAGATGCATGTACAACTATCAGAATGCAATCATTTGTCAGGTAGATGCATGAACAACTATCAGAAAAATGACACAGGCATTTTCAAATCCTGTCAAATCATTTTGGGGGCAGGTAAATCTAGCATTTCTTTGAATACACAATCTAAAAAGAAGAATTCGTACCATTCTGTAAATAAATAAGACCTAGTATAAACAACATCAACATCATAACAATTAATTCTGCGGTACGAGGAAAATGACGATTCCCTGGTTTCCTGGAAGAAACAAAAATAAGACGTTTGGCTTGACCTTTGACCTCATTATGACACTGACTGCCACAGAGCTCGGACCGACTAATCTGTTTCCTGAGCACCGATGACCTCATTATGATACTGACTGCCACAGAGCTCCGACTGACTGATCTGTTTCCTGAGCACCGATGACCTCATTATGATACTGACTGCCACAGAGCTTCGACCGATTGATCTGTTTCCTGAGCACCGATGACCTCATTATGATACTGACTGCCACAGAGCTCCGACTGACTGATCTGTTTCCTGAGCACCGATGACCTCATTATGATACTGACTGCCACAGAGCTCCGACCGACCGATCTGTTTCCTGAGCACCGATGACCTCATTATGATACTGACTGCCACAGAGCTCCGACCGACTGATCTGTTTCCTGAGCACCGATGACTTCGGCTGAAAGCTGTAGAGAACAGGAGAGAGAGTACATTGATAGGAGACAGGACTGTCATGCTACGGCCAAACAATGTATCTACACAAAGCTTCTTTTCTAGTAATTCAGGTTTAAAACTCTACAGAAGTACAGTTTTATCTGTAGTTTTGTTAGTATTGGGTATTCTGACTGAGAATGAAGAACGCGGTCATTGTTACGCACAATTATATAATATGGACTGGCCTTGAGAAAGATACCACATAATATTTCCCTAACTAGACTCATATTGCCCCAAGTCTAAGACAAGGGCAATATGGGTCTTGTGAGGGCAAGAGATGTGGTATCTCCCGAAAGCTAAGACATCTAGAGCAAATATATAAATGACAATCTCATAGAACTGAAAAAAACTTTGTCAAACCAGCACTGTGCATCCAGCTGCTTGACAAAATTGTTGATACACTGCAAACAGTGTGCCCAATTTGGTGTGATTATTACGTAATAAGAGAGTGCATGCAAAGTGTGCAGGTTCTCGTACGCATAAAAGATGCGCAATGAAAATGACACAATACGGCGTGGTGAATATGAGACTTTATTTCATGCTTTTTTAACATGTAGAGTCCATAGGCTTTTTCATGAAAGGTGAATATGGTCTCGTATTCACCGATTAGCCCTTTTAGGATTAAAAAAATAGTGTAATATGATTTTGTAAAACCACTGCTCAGATGTCTGATACAGGTAATAATCAAATATAATGTTACAAAAGTCCTATATATTTGAATAATTTGCATAAATTAAACATACATTGTTTTGCCGCACTACCCAAGCACTCACTATGGCAGAACATATGTCTCGATCAATGACGGAGCTGCTACGGCAAAACAACGTATCTCAAATTGTTGTGATGGCAGAATAGCGAAAGTGTACAAACAAGTGTACTTTTGACAAAGTTAGCGTCAGCACAGTTGCATTTGTCTGTGGAGGTGCTACTGCAGGTGCAAGCGCAAGCATGCATAGTGAACATGCACACTCACTTTACCATGGTCTCTATACGTAAATTATACTATACTGTAAATTGGAGTAGTGAGCATGGCAAAACAATGTATTGCTGTTCCGATTACATTGTTTTGCCATGGGCGCATGTTATGAAGGGGCGCGCATATCGCCGCTTACGTTGTTTTGCCGAAAAAATTACTTTTATTCCGAGAAGGGGAGTGCCATATTTTACTGAAAGGATGGTTCAGGTTTTAATATTTCATTGGGAGTTGGACTATACTTGTAAAAAGCCATTAAGGTTAAAAAGTCAATTTAAAAAAAAATTTGCCATACATTGTTTTGCCATCTCACGGCCGAGGAACATACAATGTACTATACAGGGTTCTGCAAAAAGATAAACGCATTGGCTCACAATACTCTCATTTTCATAGGTACAAATTTACACAGACTGATCTCTGACGTGCAAAAAAAAGTTATTATGACATGTACATGTACATGTTCCCGTTGCCTTTGATCTAAGATTTGAACTGAGGCTTTTAGGGGGCACATCTCGGAAGACCAAACTACACAAGTAAGGCCCTGGGGGCAATCTTGGTCCTGTAAAGCTCTTAGAGACATCATAGAGGTATTAAAGTGACTTGGTAATATTGTCTCGGATTCTGAAACAAAAATCCTGGATTTACATGTAGCTCATGCTGCCATCATAGTTATAAACCTTTCGGTCAGTTAGGAATCCAATGACTTTTACAAGCTGTTCACCTGTCTGATTATCAAGATATTTATGATTGGTTATCGAAATTTCATTTTGCGTTTTCATAACGGTTTTTATAACACTAGTGTCTGTTGGGAAACATGAGTATGGTGAAATTGGGGCGTTTCTAATACTGGTCTTTACCTTTAAATTAAAATCAAAATTTGAGCAAATGTAATGAAAGGGTTTACAGACCTGGACAGAAGCTGTGGCAGACTGGTTGGATGGCATTCCTTCATGGCTACCAGGGAGTGAGGTGAGATCGGATGAGGCTGGAGTCTGAAAAAGATTCATGGAAGTTAGATCAAGAGAAATTAGACTTGGTTGACACGGTTGACATCTCATTGAAACACTTGTATTTGAATTGGTACCCGTTTCAATGGGATGTCGGCGAAGTTGTACTAATGACAATTTTGTGAAATGACGCCCCGATAATAAATGAAATGAAACTTATTTCCAACATTTAAGGTGTCAGAGTGTTGAAAAGAATGTGGTCAGTAGATCAAAGATCTCTGGAGGCTTTCTCTTGACAAGGGAGTGGGGTATAGGCCTAATGAGAAACTTATCCCCCCCCCCCCCCTCTCATCATTCTCCTTTTAAAAAATTCCACCAATAGACTCAGGAAGCCTAAGATTTTGTTTAATGTGTTGATAACTGTGCTGGGTAGTTCCTCCTACAAGAAAGTTCCTACTTTACTCTCCCCCCCCCCTTTAAAGGCCGGCTGTACTTCAGCCAGAAGGGATTAGACCACCCAGTGAGCCAGCGAGGTCACTGTGACAGGTGGCTATCTCACTATCTCAGCTCTCAATTAACCTAGGAAAAAGAGGATCATGGGGGACCAACAGGTACGATAGGACCGTGTGACTTTAAAAAAAAAATGACCAATAGACTCAGGAAGCCTAAGATTTCTTACATGTGTTGATAACTGAGCTGGGTAGCTCCTGTTAGGAGACAAGGACGTCAAAGGCACATGGGTTATGGGTAGGTCACTGATGTCAACGTATGAAGCAACCTGCAGAAGGGAAGAGGGAGTTGGAGACATCGCATTAGAAATTACAGTGAAACCTGGGACCCGTTTCACAACACGTGTCACCAGTGACAAATGACATTTTTTGTTATAAGCTACTGAAATCCTTGCTTCTGATTGGTTATCAGCAGATTTATCACTAATTTTTGTCATTTGTCATTGGAAAAAAGCTTTGTGAAACGAGTCCCTGGGGGTGTTTCACTCACATTGCTTGTTTCCCTTGAAAGTGGTTTTTCATTGAAACCTGTACTAAAGGAACCTGTAAATAGAGACAACCTGCTTATAAAGACCACTTTTTCTTGTTTCCCTTGAGTTGTCTTTGTATATAGAAGGGGGGCGTTTCACAAAGACTAAGATCGACTTTAAGTTGGACTTAACTATGGCAGGCCATTCATGCCACTAGTTGCTCTCACCATTGGTCTTTCAATTATGATCTTTAGATACTATTTTTTTCCTTCAATAATGAACTATCAAAAAGGTAAATTATGTACATTTGTGACCAAGATTTGTACATACCTTGAGAAACCAATGCCGTAAATGGTTAGATGAACTAGTGGCATGAACGGCCTGCCATAGTTAAGTTCAACTTAAAGTTAATCTTAGTCTTTGTGCAACGCCCCCCTGTATACAAAGACAACTCGAGGGAAACAAGAAAAAGTGGTCTTTATAAGCAGGTAGTCTCTATTTACAGGTTCCTTTAGTACAGGTTTCAATGAGAAACCACTTTCAAGGGAAACAAGCAATGTGGTCTTTATACATGTAGACAGGTGGTCACTAAAGCAGGTTTGACTGTGCTTATGGGGAACATGGGAGAGAGTGTATAGAGTGCAGTGGTGAAAGAGGATTACTGGTATGAACATAGGATACAGATTCAGGGGTGATAGTGAGCACTAAAGAAAAAATAGGGTTTTTTTTCCCCCTCAACCACGCCCTCCTTGAGCAAAAAAAAAAAAGGATTCGGGAAGACAAAAAAAGGGAATCCAACAAAATCCCCCCCCCCCTTTTGCGTAACGAAATTGGGGGAAAATGGGGAAAATGGGGAAAATAGGGAAAATAGGGAAGAATATGGAATATCGGGAAAACCGGGATAAAATTGGGAAAGAAAAAAAATTGGGTAAAAAAAAATCTGGTAAAAATCAGGAAAAAATGAAAAAATGAAAAAATCGGGAAACCGATTTAAATCAGGTAATTATCACAATTGAACAAGGAACCCTCAGGAGAGACTGGAGATTGTCACAGCTCTAGAGAAAAGGAGCTATAGAGGGAGAGGCAAACACACCGACAAAAATAGGGGCCAAGAAATGGAGTAGGACAAAAAAAAGGAATCATTTTTTTAAAACAAAGATGCCATATAGACAGAGAGTAAAAGAGAGAATAGAGTAAAATAGACAGAGAGGGTGTATGCAAGAGAGAGAGCTCTAAAGAGATATTTGAGAATACACAAATCATGCTAAACTGTCCAACAATTAACTCGGTCATTTGAGCTTCAAAATCAGTTTAGGTTTGTAAATCAATAAATGACACTGTAATGATTGTGACCAAATGTCAAAGGTCACTTACCTCTGTGCCACCATCGATTGTCAGATCGTCTTTAGGACTGGGTACGGACGTCTTGTTGTCATGGAAATGTGTCCTCCGGTGAACAGTGAGGGCGCCACTTCGTTTAGCAGCATAGGGGCAAAGGTCGCAAAGGAATGGTCTCTCACCTATTTAGTTTGGGATAAGGAAATCATGTTAAAAAAAGAAAAGAGGAAAATTCTTTATTAACAGGTATAAAAATCTTGACTTCTTGCAGGAAATGAGACCTGTTACACAAAGTCTTTTTTCAAAGACAAATGATAAAATTCAGTGACAAATCTGCTGATAACCAATCAGAAGCAAGGATTTCAGTAGCTTATAACAAAAACTGTCAATTGTCACTGATGACAAGTTTTGTGAAACGCCCCCCTGAATGCTGCTCTTCCTTATACAAGTATCATCGGGTTCAAATTAGCAAATATTTCCCATGCATCATTACGGAAATTAAGCATTCTTGCATCTATATTAATCTTATTAACATGAATTTATACTCATAAATGATCAATGTCATCCATTTTCAGAAGACTGAAAAGTGCCATCTGGTCCAACCAAGATATTTCTAGGAGACTCAAAGTCAGGATCTACAGAGCACTTATCCTCCCTATTGCCACATATGGAGCAGAATCCTGGACTCTCCGAAAGTCCGATAGAAATAAGCTTGAGGTATTTAAGATGAGGTGTCTCCGGACCATCCTTGGAGTTCACCTAATGGACAAGATATGAAATGGCTTGAAATGGTTTGGCCATGTTTTACGCATGCCGCATCACCGCCTACCATACCAAGCATTCCAAAATTACTTTAATGGACGCAGACCACGGGGACGCTCTCCAAAGAGATGGAAGGCCAGGTTCAATGCGATGTGGGATTATCCACACAAGAGGCAGAGCAACGAGCCCAGGGCAGATCAGACTGGAGCATGATTTCTCGTAGGGGAGCAAGGGGACACACCGTCCTATGCACCTAAGTCAAGTAAGTCAAGGAAGAACAGGTAGGGTAGTAGTAAAGGTGGTAGAAGTAGAAAGGAATTAAGATTAAGTGCAGGTAGGGCGGTAGTAGAGGTAGTAATGAAGAAAGAGTAGGGTGGTAGTCTGAGTACAAGCAAGTATAGACTTTCCCCTAGTGTAAACAGGATTTTAATTCATGTTCTGTATCATCCCTCCCCCCCCCTCCCCTCCCACCTCTGAAGACTGGGGCGTGTTTCACAAAGTCCAACTTAAATTAGAGTTAAGTTCAACTTAGGATCTTTGTGAAACACTCCCCTGGTTATAGAGCATTTCAGTTTCTTTATCAAGCTTCTCACCCGTGTGTTTTCGCAGATGTACCGTCAGCCCTTTCTTGTCCACACAAGAGAACTGGCACTGGGAGCAGCGAAATGGTCTGATGGAAGAATGACGGGCCATCACATGACGCTTTATTTAAGATAAAAAGAGAGAAAATCAACAAGCCAAATAAAGTTAAAGATAAACTTGAGTTCTGGTAAAAAAAACAAAAAAGAATTCTCACAGAATCAAACGATACTTACACTGAATGTTCAAGATTACAAATAAATGTCATTTGCAAATCAATTTTGGTAGAAAATGTATACTGGCTGGGTAATGAGCATAGAAAGAAATCAAGGTTAGTAGCCCTGACACCATTTGTGTAGTCCCACATACATCTCTCTGTGTACAGTGCTTGTTAATACCAAGACTGGGCCAAATTTATTATCATTTTGATGACTCCAGAACCTTGCAGTACACACCAATACTTACATGCTACATGATCAACTTTTTCTGATCCATTCCACACCTTTTCTTTCATATTGCAATCGCATGACCAGAACCAACTTTATCTTTAAACCTGTCTTAGTGGCTGCCTATTCATGAAGGCCACCTGTCTAATAGTGGTCACCTATTACACTACATTAGTTTGTCTCCCTCTAGGAAGGAGCCTGTGTTGTAGAACCTGTCTAGAAAGGCCATCTGTCTACAGTGCCCAATATTCCTGTTTCCCATGGATGGGCTCAATAGACAGATTTCAGGTTTGACTCTACATATTATTTACATAAAGATAATTTTTTTAAAAAAGGCATGAAAGATTAATTTCTAAAAATAAAACTAGTAAACTGGTCTGTTTGTTAAATAAAGGGAATTTAAGATATCTTTGTACACTTGATCAATTGCAGTCAAGAGTCCCAACTCCCAAGATACTTGTATTAACTTCCCGGCTTCCCCTAATATTCAAAGATAACATTAACAGACCCTGTCTTACTCTTTAATAATCAACATCAATATTCTTCTACATCGTAACATCATATGGAGAGGATGATTTAATTCCAAAGGTAAAGCAGCTAATTGATAGAAAGGAGCAGACTAATTGGCTTGCGAGGGGCATTGAAATACTAAGAGTATGAAGGGGTAAGGGCAATTCGCTGGGAACTTAAAGGGATCTGGTAACTTTGTCTTAGATCCTTTAAAAAAATCCTTGATTTAGCTCATGCTGCAATGATAATTATAAACCTTTAGGTCAGTCAGGAACCCAATAACTTTTACAAGCCGATCGGCTGTCTGATTATCAAGATATTTATGATTGAAAATCGAAATCAAATTTTGCGTTTGCCCAACGGTTTTCATAACACTACAGTCTATCGGGGAAAACGAGTATGGTAAAACCGGTCACTCAACGGTTTTTACTTTTTGAGGCACTTTTTGATCATTTTGAAGCGCAATTTTGTTTAGATCTTCAATATAACACCATATCACAGACACTGATAACACGTTAGGGCCATGCATCTCAGATTTAACATTGTTAAACGGTCCCTTTAAGAAAGATAGGTACTGCAGCCTAATTTACCTTGAGAGTGCTCCCATCAGCAGCGGCGTAGTTACAGTGATTACAACGATACGGCTTCTCCCCAGTGTGCTTCCTGATGTGAACCAGGAAGTTATCCCTCTTCTTGGTGACATACCCACAATGCTCGCAGATAATCGGGTCCACAGCGTTCTTGTGCATTGGCGAGTGTTTATGCTGCTGGAGCTTGGAGGCCGTCACGAAACTCTTCTTACAAGGTACGCAGTGGAACTCTGACGTTTGCTTGCTGTGTTTCTTCTGATGAATCGTAAGCCTTGCTGATGATCGCGTCATGTAGTCACAGACGTTGCAAGTGAGGACCTTGGTGTCGGCGTGCTTGCGCATGATGTGGATTTTCATCCCGGAGCGAGTCGCGAGGGCATCGCCGCAGATCTCACAGAGGTAACTTTTCTTTTTCTGGTGCTTCTTGACAACATGTCGCTCAAGCTCGTTGGCCGTCTTGTACCGAGAGTGGCACTCCTTGCAAGCGAAGATCTTGGAACCTGTGTATTCTTTACGCAAGAAGGGCGATTCGATACCGAGCGATTCTCCAGTCGGAATTATAGCCTCGCTCTTGAGGCTCTTCTTGAAGTGGATGGTCGTAGGTGGGCGACTACCACCGGTGTGCTGCACAACCGTGATAGTGGTGGCTTCGGGGTTGGACTGTGAGGCTCGTTGAGCTATCGCTTGGAAGTCCACGCTGCCGTAGAGCTTGGACCCTTCCAACATCACCAGGGGCAATGTCTGCGGGGCTGGTCGGGGACCATCCTCTGGGGTTTGTCCTTGATCTTTGTCCAATGATGATGTTGCCATGTCTTCATCTGTTGATGTCCTAGGTAATGGATCTGAGTTGGCCACTATGGTCTGGCTGCCTTGAGGAGGATTCTTCTCCTGCTTTAAACTCTCAACATTCTCCGTCTCTTCGGACATCGCTTCAGGTTCTGAAGAAACGTGAGGCGGCAAGTCTTGGCCAGTGTCGGATCCAGGAGCCTGACCCTCGCTCACCGCTACACCCGATGACAGGGACTTGTCAACGATCGGCATTTCCGGAATCCAGCCTGCTCCTTTCTCTGTACCCTTCTCTTCCACTGTCTCGCTTCTGAGTTTCGCTGCTGCCATCATCGATTCATACGCCCTGTTAAAGTCGAGTTTGATGGCAGATGCTGCGATCGAAGTATCTTCCTCTTTCTTTTCCACCTTGGTTCTCAAATCCCTCAAACCATCTTTCCTGGTCCTCCCTATATCTGAATTTGCCTTGTCACTTTTTACTTTGGGGGACAAGGCTTGCACTTTAATTTGTTTCCTTCTTTCAATAGTATCTCCTCCCAAATGACTTGTTGCTTCCTTTGATGATTTTTCACTTATGCACAATTTACTTTCCGTGATGAGAAAGTCATAAAATCTTGCCAGATCCATTTCAGAACCATCAACCTCTTTCTCAGTTTGCTGAGGCTGCAACACACCACAATCATTGGTTCTCGAGTTACATAACATTTTCAAGACAACTTGATCTTTTGGAATAGATTTCAAACACTGCAAGTTCTGTATATCATTCAATACAATTTTCAGTGGTGTATCGGGGTCTTGTTGCTGCGAAGATTCTTCCGAAATGTTGGCAAAATCTTTTTCCTCGCTGGCCATTGTGACGTGGGAGCTCCTTACATGATCACTCATGACCCCGCTGTGCGATGAGTAAAAGTTGCATATTTTGCAGCGATGTATTTCGACCAGCAGCAATGTGGATTCAACATGCTTCTCAAAAATATGACGAACTGTTGTTGTCATGGTTGTGCTTGTTGCCATGGTATGATGTGCCATTTTGGGTAAATCATCAGAATGCATGAACTATAAATGGCAAAAACTAAGTTCCAGAGCAGCTCTAATTTGTTTGTTAATATTTTTACTGTTATTACATCGATATCGAATCGGGAGTCGAGAAAGTTTCTAAAAAACAAGCCACGTACTAGTCTACGTACACGCCTGCGGCGCCGGTGTAGGAGCTTCCTGGATCTGGATCGAGTTACATGTACATACAGACTACAGACATGCGCGATCGCATTATAAATGCACGGGAAGACCATTTATTTAACCTGCTGCTCACTCACCCTTCTCTCGTACTCGTAGGTATACAACCTTTAGTCTTTACCAACAGTCGGTCAAATTCGAGAAAAAATAGCTCTTAGCTTGTTATAGACCTATGTAACACTGAAAACCAAAGTCATTCATCTCTTTCATTCCTACTCCAACTTCAGAGCTCGAAACTCTTTCGGTGCAGTTTCAGATCGTTGGAAATAGGTGAATCCCCTTCCGATTTTCGGCAGCATAAGGGGTTCGTCGCTCTCAGTTCACTGAAAATTCAAGATGGATGTCATGACGTCAGCGAGCTAAACCGTAGTCTATATATTCAGTACCATATAAATATTATGAGAGATTAAAGACGATTTTATATTTTTTTGATGGATAGGTATCGCTAGATAATTAAATCAAGCGTCTAAGAATTAGTTTATTTTGGTTCAGAAAAACAGACATAAATGGAAATTAGCATTGCAATATTCGCCAAGGGCGGTTATCTTCAAAATATGGATTGACTCTGAGAGACTAAGCCTATTCTATTCTAAGGCTATTCTTTTTCTCAAAGCTGCGCATGCCTCCACGAGTATGAGACGCCAATTGTAGAATTATTATAAAGGCAAATTGATTGATTGATTGATTGATTTTTATTCGACAAGCTTCCAACATACAACAATATACAATAATAACAGATCAAAATTAAGTCAGCTTGAACAGGATAACCCACGAAAGCTCAAGAGCTTATTGTGCCAGTGGGGTCTCCTACAGACATGTGCAAAATGATAAGTTAAAATAGTAATATTTACAGACAGATAAGAAAATACAAATAATTACTTTTTAAAGATAATAATAATAACAACATTAAACTGATGATAGAAATGATAATAAGTACAAGAAGAAAAAGAAGAAGGAGAAGAAGAAAAAGAGGAGGAGGAAGAAGAGGAAACTAACCATAAATTTGTAGAATGTCTATAACGTATAAAAACTATATACAAAATGAAAAAGTATGAACCGGCAGAAGAATTTCAAATTATATGTGATATACTCATTATTTAACAAATAATGACCATTATTTACATATCATGCAATTAAATGAACATTTTTATTTGTAAATAATTCTTAACCAATTTGTATTGTTCATAAATAATTACAATTCATACTGCATTGTTTAACAATTACAATTCACATTTCCATTATTTATAAATAATGACAAATTACATTTCATTATTGATATATAATTGCTATTACTTTTACAGACAACTACAAATGACATCTTCATTACTTATATATAATGACAAATATTATCATTATTTAAAATATTTAATTGCTATTGTTGATGAATAATTACAATTCACATCTTATTTATAAATAATGACAAAATCCCAATTTCATTATTTATCAATAATAACGACCCCCCTCTTCATTTTTTTATAAATGATAAAAATTCACGAACCCATTATATATATATATATATATATATATATATATATAATAATCAAAGCGCATTTTATTATATATATATATATATATATATATATATATATTATATAATGAAAAACGCAAAACCATTACATATATGATTGCACATGCAAATGTGGCAATGGTGCACTGTTTTATTTCCGAGCGTGACGCGTATATGGTTTAACAAATTCAATTTAATTCATTAGATTTGGATTAATAAGACAGACTATTTTTTCATTTCGTTTATTTCCATTTCCAACAAAATAAATAAAGTACATGGGATGGCATTGTACATAGTAAAACAATGAGACTTAACAATATATTTGTAATTGGTCCACAGTGTACAACGGGCATATAAAACAGCTAGGTTGGTCGTGGAGGGGACTGCTGAAAAGCTGGGCTTGTAGATTGCAGCCCCCTGTTGTCTATCGCACCTGTGGAATTCCATTGTGGCCGCGAGAACTTATTGATTTACCCTTTGTACATCTTGATCAACCTCAGATGTATTTAGGCACATTTTCGCACGAAGAAGGGGCTGACACCGTTTTCCAAATAACAAGGTATCTAGCTGGTTTCTAAGCGAGCGGAAATATCTCTATGTATTATGGGTCAAAATGTTACTACGTCTTCAAAATGTATTTTATAACATATTCGAGCACTTCACGGTTTCTTGAGCGAGCCTAGTAATGGGGCTTTCACGTATACACTCCGGGGCCCGTACGGCGAGTAAAAACAGACATTTCGGGAATTTTCGGCCGGTGTCCGGCCGGTTGCCGTAAAGTTCCTACGGGCGCCGGGACAGTTTTTTTAGCCGTACGTGTGCCGTGGTGCTGAGTTGGCTGCTCCCAATTCTCCCGTGGTTTTTATCTGACCGTTAGGCCGTAGAAATCCCGTAAAGGACCCGTAGGGCACCTTACGGGTCCCATTCGGGCTCCGGACGGTGCCCGGACGGGCCCCTCACGATTTTGGGGGTTAATTCTCATGAAAAATCTTTACGGGCGCCTTGCGGTGCTCATGGGTTCCACACGTCTACGGCGCCCTCACGGGCCCCTCAAGAGCCCCGGGTGATATGCACAGCAAAAGGCGTCTGCCGTCCGGGGCCACTTAAAATGAACATTGCCCGTGCGGGTCCCTCACGGCGGCATCTCGAAATGTACAACGCAGATTTAAATACAGGAGGTGCGGATATATAACAGAGGACACATACAGAGTGAGTCAGAAAAAAATGTCCCATTTTTTAAAAGTTGTATTGTTTGAAGTATGAATATTTAATTATGAGTTTCATGATACGTCTTGATAGAGTTATCCTCCCAGTACATTTAGGTACCATTTTCATTTGAATCTCTGCATGCATCACTGAATATCAGACAATCTTTACGAGACTGCCAGATCTCACTTGCGCCAAGTTACTGGGTAAGGAAATGAAAATCGGACGGTTCCCGTACGGTCTCTAAATCCACGGCAAGCCGCCGGGTAGGGAAAATCGTACGGGGCCCGGTTTATATGTGACCTAGGCATAAGTGATAACAAAACAATAACGGTAAAACAAACAAACTATTATTTCGTATTCAAAGTACTCTAGATTAAAATTGAGTTGAGGACTTTGTTTCCTCAATATGAAATGATCGTTCCCCTCTGAATTTTCGTGGGCTGCAGCCCCCGGCCCCACCTCCCCGTATACGCCTATGATCTGCACAAACGTTAAAGGGACTATGTAACATTGTTCAGATGAGAGATAGTGGTGCTAAGGTAGTGACTTCAATGCTAGATGTACAATTAAAGATAATCTGAAAATTTGAGTGAAAACGGATCATTAATTTTATTTTATTCTAAGGGGTCGAATTCACAAGATCTTTGAGTAGATCTTTAATCTGTCCCCACTCAATTTATGTTATTTGTGTTGTCATCTACTGATTTTGCTATGTCCATCTTTTTATATTTGTTATACATGTATGCGCTTATTCGCAATTCTATGTGTCTGTTTTTTATATTGAGTGAATAAATTATTTGAATACTTGAATTTGAATATTATTTGAATATTCATGGTACAAATTGGGAAAAACTGATCTGATCTATTCCTTAATTCTCCCAACTATATTATTCTACTTTTATTCTGCTACTTGTCAAAGCCTGTTCAGCTTCAAGACAAGGACAATTTAAGTATAATTTAGGTGAATGTAAATCGTCACAAAGCAATAAAATGGCTCTACATTCCATTCCAGACAGTTAAGTGTTGACAGATTTTTATAGCCTGTTTTATGTATTTTTGTCATGGAAAAACGGTTGGGAAAATTCAAAAATGGTTGGGAGAATTTATTGTTAATCACTGTTAGAGGGTGCCTCACATTTACGCCTTCAAAGAAAACCATAGATATCTTTGTGGTTTGAGAATTTGTTCAGGATTTTTTGCATGTCAGAGGGTTAGTATAGTAGAAGGAATATAGTAAGTAACATTTTATACAAAAATTAAGCAATTTTTTCATCAACCTTCAACCGAGTCACTTTAAAGGGATCGTTTAACAATGTTAAATCTGAGATACACGGCCCTACATATTATCAGTGTCTGTGATGTGGTGTAATATTGAAGCCCTAAAAAAATTGCGCTTCAAAATGATCAAGAAGTGCCTCAAAAAAGTAAAAAAAATCTTTGAGTGACCGGTTTTACCATACTCGTTTTCCCCAATAGACTGTAGTGTTATGAAAACCGTCAGGCGAACGGTTTTCAAAATTTGTAATTCCAATCATAAATATCTTGATAATCAGACAGGCGATCGGCTTGTAAAAGTCATGGGGTTCATGACTGACCTAAAGGTCTATAATTATCATTGCAGCATGAGCTAAATCCAAGATTTTGTTTCAGAATCCGAGACAAAGTTACCGGATCCCTTTAAGTCTAAATAGGGTTGAAAATTACCAACCAGTTGAAGGCCTAATGGAAATAACTATCATCATTGAAACCTACACATTTCTGTCAAAGGTTATTAACGTTTAGACTAATAAATTCAAAGAGTGAGACAGTTTGTAGATGAGGGTATTTTACTCATATCAAAATGTATAATTCAGTCCTCCTTAGTTACTTTCGCATTGCATCCTACTAACTCGAACTTTTATTATCATAGAGTATAGTGATTATACAATTTGTCAATTGTAAGCAAGATAGGGATTTCATTTGACTTATCAATTGATTCTCCTTTTCCTCAAAATTCAAATCCTTTTTTTTTTACTTCCTAAGAGAAGGTTGAAATCTCAAAATACATTGAGATGATACATTATACAAAGTCTAACTTTTGAAAGGACGTAAGTGAAAAAAAATGTGTTTTGAAAAAAGAGAATTAATGGAAATTATGTACGACGTATACCTGTATTTGAATGTCTGGGCACACTTGTTGAAATAGTTTTTGATAAACATATTAAACAAACCATCATGTGTACAGTGTTTGAGGTTTCCGTCATCGCTATCGACAAACCGAGGTAA